TATGTAATACAACAAGCATTGTTAATTTCCTACCACTTTGTTTGTAACTCTGTATTGTCTGTACTGTTCTTTTGCTATTTTGTAAAAGGCTGTCAGTCTGTTAATGTTTTCCTCCTTTTATTTTTAAAATAAAAAAAAAAAATTTCCTTTTGCTTTTCTTTTTCTGAGAATTTTTTCTTCCCAGGTCTAAACTTGCATCCATGCTACCTTCCCAGTCTGAATAATAACGTGGACCCAGGACCCTGTGCTCAGGATCCCAGGAGTTACTTTTCTGAGTTTTCCAACTTGCCTGGGCCCAGACCCCGACCACTCAGCACAGCAGCAGGAAACACCCGGCTCAGCCACAAGACATTCACTGAGAAACTGCACATATATTACTACTATTACACTGTGTATTAATTACAATATTTGATTCAACCTAGAGGGAGCCATTTGTTGCCTTAGATAGAAAGAGAAACTGAGGCTTAGAAAGGTTATAAAACCAAAGTCCCACATAGCTATTAAGTTTTGAGTTGGGATTTGATTTCATGTATATTTGCAGCCACTATCCTAAGCTGCCACTTGCAAAATAACGAATAAAAAGCTACCTTGTAAATTACTTTCTGTATACATCCATAAATAAAGAGTGAGCTAGCACTGCAACAGTACATGTGGAGAGGTACAGTTCACTGGATGAACCAAGTAAAGGAAGCGCACTGGGATGATGAGCTACAGCCAGTGCTGTCCACCTCCGGCACAGGTCACGGCCTGCCACCAAGCAGGGCCACAGAATCCCCCACCACCTGCAGGGCTAGGTTTGCCCGTCACTTCTCCCCTGTGTGTGAGGCACTGCCGTCAGCAGAGGGAGCAAAGGTGGTTTCTGAGCTTTTTTCACTAGGGGCCAGACTGGAAACCAACTGTGACCTCCTGTATGCACTTGCAGGAACCAGTCACGTGGACTTTTTCATGTGGCATTTACTTCCAAAATGAGAGTTTGAAATAAGACAACCTCAGGAAAACAAAAACACAAGATCCGATCTGCAACCCACCATCATATTTAAATCCCAGTCACTTTAAAAATTATAATCCTGCATCCGTTATTAGTAGCAGGGTTCTAGAATAGGGGACAATTGTCAAACTAAATTACAAGACTTCTTTCTCAGTATAGCCAGAGAAAAAGCAGATATTGTATTGAAGAGAAAATAAACATCTTCTCTTGAATAGAAAACAAAGGAAAACTAAATGCAGAACTATCAGATGGAAGAGGTGAAAGCAGAAGATTTTCCCAAATGTGTGATGTCACTGACTAATTAAAAATCGGGGGTGGTGGCACACCCCCGTAATCCCAGCACTCAGGGAGGCTGAGGTAGGAGGATCATCGCGAGTTCGAAACCAGCCTGGGCTACAAAGTGAGCTCAAGGCCAGCCTGAACTGCACAGCGAGACCCTGTCTCAAAAAGACCAAGCAAGAAAGAATAGGAAAGCTCAGAAATGGGGTTTCATATACACTGAGTAAGAGAAGGCCTAGTGGCACAGAGTATTTTTAAAGCACATTACTTGCTGCTGAGTGTAAAAGCAAGAGGATACAAATGGTTAGGTATACATGGCTTCACCACCTCCAGCCAACTCCTTCTGAGCACCTGTCACTGTCACAGCCCTGGGGTAGTAGAAGCAGACAGTGGGCGGGAAAGGATACTTACTTTTTGGCAAATCCCCAGTACTGGAGGCTGAAACTGTCCTGCTTCTGTCATGGGATGGACTGCTTTCCTCCTGCTCTGTAAGTGGTGATCCCTCGGAAAGCACTGAGCCGCAGGCCACAGACTCTAAAGGCCCAGAGAACAAGGAGGTGGAAAACTCTGGAAACTGGGACTCTGAAATCTTATGTTGTCCGTTTGGCAATTCACCATTGAATTGTTCATAGGAGCTGCTATATGTGTAATCGCTTTCTGCATTTGGCTCATCGAGGTTATACTCCTCAGGGTTTGGGCAGTCGTCCTCATCGTCCTCTTCATCTTCCAGCTGCTGTTCCAGTAAGAATGGGCCATTCTCAATATGGCCATTTGTTTTGGGTGACTCGATCCATGTAGGGTCTATGTTCCCAAGTTCCTGATCGACATCATCTTCATCTTTCTCAACGTTTTCTTTCTCGGCATCTTCTTTCTCTTCCTGGTCTTCAGCTTCACCTTAAAAAGTTGACAGGGTAGCAATGAGGATTTGTTACTCTCTTCAAGAAGAGGCACTAGGCACTGACCTCCCTCAACATGATGCACTTTCTAACGTGCTTCATTTCTGTGCCACAGAGTCAACACCTCCCTGTTCTCAGAGTAAAACCTTCAGGCTTTCTAAATCTTATTTTTCACTTACTTAATAAACGGTCTACTCTTGTTGGGAAAAGCTTTTGTGAAGCCAGGTATAGTGGTACATGCCTATAATCCCAGAACTCACTAGGCTGAGGCAGGAGGATCACTGCAAATTCAAGCCCAGCCTAGGCTACACAGGTTAGTTCAAGGCCAATCTGCATTATATAGCAAAACCCTATCTTAAAAATAAATACAATAAAATAATAAAAAGCTTTGGGACCAACTCCCCAAATTAATGTAATATAATGATATATATCAAAAATAGACACTAATTAAAAAAGAAACAAAAACTATTTTTGGGAAAATATTTTTATAAATTAAGTTGAACTTCTACTCTTTCCTTCACCATCTTAGAAAAAGGTTTGTGGTGCACTACTGTTAGCCAAAAGGCTTATTACTAAATAAAGGAAGGGCCATCATTAGCATGATAGAGACATGGTGTTTCTCAGGCAGTATCATTTTTTAAAAACTACTCTTAAAATATGCACGCCAGACACACATTAACACTGATGTGCCTGGCATGCACACTGTAAGAAAAGCACAGGGCGCTTCCCATATTTCTCAGTAAGGAGAGGCAGAGGATCTGTCTTATCTGAAGCAGCAGCACAAACCCTGGCGGGTCACTATCCACGAAGAGCCTGGGTCCCTATCAGCCCCATCTCCAGGCCCCACTGACCGTTGTCCTTTGCAGTCTCTTCCTCAGGAGTCTCCTCTAACCCTGCTGCTTTTAGTTTCACCTCCGGCCGGAATTCATCGTCTTGCTCATTGGAAGGTACAGCAGAGCTGATGTTTTCCTCTATTACTTTCCTTTCAGCTTCTCGCTCCAGTTCTTCTATCTCCTGCAGGCGTTTTTCCAGTAATTCAGCCTGCCTCTTCTGTTTCTTTTTCAGCTTCTTCTTCTTGTTTTTAGATATTTTTCCTATCTACAACATGTTAAGAAAATACCACTGGTCAGTTGCTCTTTTTAAAGCCCCACATCACAGTACAAGTTCTGGCAGCATGGCAAATACCAACCAATGCTAATTTTCATATCACAGTCAAAGAAATATGTAAGCTCAGACAGAAGATCCATCTTCATGGTTAGGGTTTTGGTAAAACAGAAAGCAGTGCTGGCCTGTATCAGGCCTAGCACTCAAGGAACATAGCTGAGACCAGTAAGGCTTCACCATTTAAGCTCTAGGACAAATGAATATCCTGAAGTAATCAGCTTTCAGCAAGAAGGTCCTTTTATAAGTCTTAGGAGTTGATTCCTATACACAAAGTAGCACATTCCAACCTCCTAACTGCCCAAAAAAGGAAAAGCCTGCCAAAACAGGTAGTCAGCAGCACTACTTGAGATTGCCTTTCACGTACTGAGCTGTTGGCAATAGCCAGGCAATACGAACTTTAAGAAATTAGCACACTAAGTAAAAGGGTGAAAAGGAAAAAAAACATAGTTCTTGTCTGCCTCCAACTGCAGCCATCACCTGAGTCATCCAGTTCTGGGGATGAGAGCCTCCCAAACCTCCCAGGTCCAGGGAGCCCACGCCCAGGGGCTGGGGAGGTCCTGGGGAGATGCGGAGCATTGGAGGCCAGGAGGCCAGGAGGCCGGGCTCTCCCTGGCCCCTCACACCCACACTTCTATCACATACGGAGGGCGAGTTTGTTGGACACAGTGTTCAGACAGAACCAAGGACCAGGCAATACTCTCATAATTAAACAAATAGCTGAGAAAAACGTTAGGACAACTGCATCAGGAAAACAGGTAACTGGGATGCCCATCAGAAGTAATGTAGAATGACTCTGGAATAGTCACACTTCAGACCTTATCTCGTCACCTCACAATTCTCCAACCTTGGCCTCCCTCATCCCCAGAAGCGTGTAAGACTGATCTTCCAATAGTTTTGATTATTCTAATTCATAGAGATCATTTCAATTTAAATTAAGGATACAGAGTCTTTATAAACATATCTTTTATTTTAATATACATTAACATGTCTGTTGTAATTTGAAAAGTCCAATAATATACAGTCTCATTTTTTGGCTAAATACAAGTATAGGTAGAAGTACTTACAGGTTTTTGCTGTGGAGCCGTACTCACTAAAACAAAATAAAACAAAATAGATGTTTAGAGAAAAACAGATACATATCTTCAGGTAATTCAAATAGCGAAATGAAATAATTACTTTTTTTTCTCTGATGTGCTGAGAATCAAACCCAGGGATACTCTACCAATGAGCCACACCCTCAGCCCCTCTTATTTTTTAAAACAAGGCCTTGGGCTGGGAATTCAGCATGAGGGCCTGAGTTTGATTCCTGGCATCAATCAATCAATTAATCAAACAAACAGGGCCTTGCTAAGTCACCAGAGTTGGCTTTGAACTTGTGATCCTCCTGCTTCAGCCTTCCAAGTAACTAGGATTACAGGCATGTGTCACCACACCCAGCAATTACTGCCTTTTAAGGCTACCCAAGATCATAAATACATACATATGTACATACACCAACCAACCCTGGAGCTTCTTTACAATAGGGGTTTTCCAGAGGAATTTTATTCAACTCAAAAAAAAGAAAAGAAAAAAGACTGACCTTAAAAGGACAGAGCAGAAGCAGTTTATACTGAGCCATTTCAAAACCAGTCAGTCTCAAAGCACTGACTAACAATCTTTAAAACAGAGCGTGGTGTAGTGGTGCACGTCTATAATCCCAGCACTCAGGAGGCTGAGGCAAGGGGCTTGCTGCAAGTTCAAGGCCACTCTGGACTAAACTTATATAGTGAGTTTGACAGCCTGCCTAGAATACAGCGAGACCCTCTCTCAAAAAATAAAACAAAATAAAACAAGAACAGTTTATAAATCAGTCACCAAACCAAATTTGTCTGTAGACAATAAAATGAACAACTTAGATGGGAAGATGCACATGTGTGTTTCAAATCTATCTGGCAAACTTTATATAACTAACCTAAATCAAATAGTACAGCAGCTGCAGCAATGGTTCCTGGACTCACATTAGCTTCCTATCATCATCGAAAGTGTGGCTGACTGACTCCATGATCTAAATAACACCCTCACTGCAGCAGAGGAGACACAGAGAGAACACCTCTCCCCGGAGTAAGTCTGCCTGACGACACACGAAGGAGAGCACAGGCAACGTGAAAAGAGCACAAAAAGCAGTCAACGCCTTTCTTTTGGAAAGAAAACTCTGTAAGCTCAGACTCAGCTCTCACTGATCTTCTTCCCCACATTCTTCAGACTTTCACAACTGATTCGAAGTGCACCACTTCAGCTAATATTGATACAATTGTGACAAATGAAGAGAAGACAGCATTCTAACAAGCCTGAAACTGTAATAATTCTGAAGATTATAGGTCAGCTATAAGAACCTGGTTTCTATATTCTCCACAGAGAAGTGGGTAACACAAGCAAATGTTCACGTATAGATGAAGCAGTAGCCAAGAATCTAGACAATGTTTTTCTGGTTGGGGGAGGGGGGTACTGCGACTGCGGAGTGAACTGAACTACATCTCCAGCCCTTTTTATTTTTTAAGACAGGGTCTAGCTAATAATTCTCTAAATTGCCCATGTGGGCCTTGATTTTGTGATTCTCCTGCCTTATCCTCCCAGAGTGCTGGGGTTGCAGGCATGTGCCACCATGCCCAGCTTATTTTAATGGAGGACAAAGGCAAGCAATTCAGATATTAAAACAAATACTGAAATATATAACTGGAACATCTTTTCAAGAAAAAGATTCAGTTATTTCTACAAACCAAGCTGTTATAAAAAGTTCCTAACATATTATGTGCATGTCTGACTCAATTACCTTCCATGTGCAATTCTTGAAGGCCACAGTGCCCCCAGAACACAGAAACACAGAAGACCTGGCTCCCTCACCTGCAGACCCCGAGGGAGGAGGAGCACCTGCTTTCTGCCACTCCGTGGCCTCAGCTGCCATTCTTCTCACGTAGGCATCATCCACACACATCAGGATGTTTTCCGGCTTTATATCAGTATGAATAATCTTGCACTTACTATGTAGATAATCTAAACCTTGGAGGACCTGTTCATAGTAGAATCAAGAGAGGAAAGAAGCTATTAGTAATCTGACTATTACACTTTTATTTATTTGTGAAATAGGTACTATAATCACATGTATACTCCCACAGGAACACAGCTCTCCTTTCCAAAGCAGCCACTATCTATCATTCGAGAAAGAACTTATGCTAATGGAAGCAAATGCACCTCTATGATCACTTCTTTAAGAACAACTTTATTGAAAAATGAAGGGTCGGGAAGATAGCTTAGCAGCACAGCACCTGCCTGGAAAGCATAAGGTCCTGAGTTCGATTCCCCATACCAAAAAAAAAAAAAAAAAAATTCACACATCTTACAATTCAACCATCACCACTACCTAATTTAGAACATTTTTATTACTCTAAATAATACTACACCTACTAGCAATTACTCCTTATCTCCCTCCTTAACTCTTCCAGCCCTAACAAATCATTAATTTTCTTGAAGATTCTAGACATTTTCATTTAAATGGAACCATAGAGTGGTCTTTCATAACCAGCATAATGTCCAAGACTCATTCTGGTGTAAGACATATCTATATTTCATTTCCTTTCCTTTTACTACCAAATGATACCCCACTGTATGGACATGTGACATTTTGGTTTGTTTTTTATTGTTGTTGTCTTGTTTGTTTGTTTTTTTGAGAGGATCTCCTTACGTAGTTCAGACTAGCCTGGAACTCACTATGTAGCCTAGGCTAGCCTCAAACTCATGGCAATCCTCCTGCCTCAGCCTCTCAAGTACTGGGATTACTGGCATGCACCAGATAGACATGTGACATTTTGTTTACTCACTCATTTGATGGACACTTAGACTGTTTCCACTTGGGCTAATAACTACTGATATGCACATTCATGGGTAAGTCTTTGTGTGGACATACCTTTTACCCTATAAAACAAATTTGCTTCAGTGAGTATGTGATTTGTGAACTCTTCTGTTTTATTAACTGGCTGGACAATGCTTTGGACTATTTATATCTATATTTGCCTTTGGATGAAGTATAACACTATTTTTCACAGTGGCAGCACCATTTTATATTCCCACCAGATAGATAGACAGTATATGGAGGATGTATGTATGTATGTATGCATGTTTTTATTTCAGCCACTCTAGTGAGCATGATGTGTCTGTCATCTCATTTCAGGGTGGTTTTTGTTTTTGTGAGACAGCAACTTACTATGTTACTCAGGATGGTCTTGAACTCTTGGGCTTAGTGATCTTCCTGTCTCAGGCTCTTGGGTAGCTGAGACTACAAATATGCTATTGCACCTAGCTTATACTTTAGTTTTGATCTGCGTTTCTCTAGTGGTTAATGATTTACGTAATTTACAATATCACAGAAAAAGAAGGTAAATAGGTAATATAATCACACGGCATAAAATATCCCTAGGGAAGAGGTCCTGGGAAGAGGGATGAAAGGACTGAAAATGAGCAACGTATGCTATATGCATGTGCCAGTTTCCCAAAACAAACATCAATATTGTGAAATATAAACCTGCACATAAAAAAGTCAGTATCTAGATAACACTGTAGCATTAATACAAAGTATTGAGCCAAAATACTCACACATTTATCACATTAAAAAAAAATAAAACCTCATAGAGTGTAGTAACCTAAATATAAGGCCAATATTTTTCTCAAGTTATCTTCACCAAAGAATCTTTTCAAATTCTCTTCCATAATCAAGACTTAGTTTTAAAATAAATGTTTCCATACGAGAGAAAATTCTAAAGTCTCCTCGACAAATGCATTACCATTCAAATGTAAGTCACTCAGGCATCTTGCCCACAAAGAGACAGTAAATGTGAAAGAGATAAGCAGAAGATAGACAACATTATCCAACACTGGAAAATTCCCAGCAAAACCCCAGTGTTTGTGCATACCTGGAATACCTACTAATTATTTTCAAGGTCAACACACTACAAAGGGTGAAAGAATAGGGATTTTAGCGGGAAAACGAATAAAATGAATCTGTCTCTTGCACAGATATTAAAATCCCTACAACCACTTACAGTAAGTTTTCTTTAAGAAATACTTTTTTTTTTTTGGTACCGGGCATCGAACTCAGGACCTTGCGCTTGCCAGGCAGGCACTTGTGCCACTGAGCTATATCCTTGGCCCCTTTAGGTAATACTTTTACATGAGCTCATCGAAAGAGCATCATCTGGATCCTAATCTGAGGTATTTGCATGCAGCAGGAAACAAAGGTCCTGGTCTTCAGAGCCTTATATCCTCAGCTTGCTCAGTCACGTCAGGCCATGGGGACTAGGGACTGGGGACTGCGGACTGGGACCTGGGGACTGGCGACTGGTCAAAGGAAAACCCAAGATGAATCACATGTACAACAAATCTACTTTAAGAAAATACTGACAACTTGCTAGTTAAGTATGAGCAAAATGAAAGGGGAAAAACAACTTAGGTTCTAAGACTGATTTTTTTGAATTTATTCTTTAAAATAATACCTAGGGCTGGGGATATACCTCAGCGGCACAAGCACCTGCCTAGCAAGTGCAAGGTCCTAAGTTTGATTCCGGCTACCAAAAAAACCCCCCAAAAACAAAAAAAAACACAAACCCTCAACCCTATTTTTAAGTTGTGTTATAGTGTCAAAGGACCAATAGTAAGAAAATATCATTATGTACTTCCATAAATATAGGTTATACTTATGAGGGGAATGCAGCCCAATGGGCTTATATGCTACTCAAAGACATTTCATTATCTTTCCTGTACAACTAAGTAATGATGTAGAATGTTTATATCTAAACATAAGATTGTGAGAAGTACAATAAATTAATGAGTAGGCACACATATTCAATCTAGAAAGGCAAAAGAAACATTTTGAAGAAATTTCAAACCATTTAAAATTATTTTGACTGAAATTTATTTTCAGTTATCTGATATTGACCTGAAGTAAAATGTCAGTATCTTATTTTGGAAATTAGGATATCTTCTCACAGGCTTTTCATGCACACAGATTGCCCTTATCTTCCCACCTTTGCTGCTTTCACAGTTTAAAATCTTTCACTGTGTGGGAAGCTACACAAGTAAGTGCTAATGTGACAGTATGCAAGTGTGTTAACAGGACTTCCCAATGACAATGATGTTCAAAACACAGTGTTCTCAGTAGGAACTTAAGGGTCCAGATTTCTAAAATACTGACTATTGGGTTCAGATGGGCTACCCTTACTTAAAAAGTAATGGCTATGTTTGACAATAATACCAGACAAAGACCTCACACCACTGGGCAAATCAACAAATACAAATCATTAAAGAGATGGAGCATAGGCAAAACATAACCATGGGACTCAAGACTACCCTTAAATTGCTACTCAAAACATTCATTCATAACCTGGGGAAGGTGCTTCACTCTGAGCTTCCATTTCCTTTCTATAAAAGGGGGAGACATATCTACTAAACACAAATATAGTAAGAATCAGAGATATCCTGAAAAACAAAACAAAAATGAGCAAGATCTAACATACAGGAAGATCAAAACAAAAAGCAAAACTAAACCAAGTCAGAAGACTTGTACTGATGTAACTATAATTTCTTAATTTATTAAATTTCTATGGATCTCTGCTGCCTCAACCTCTAATATAAAAGGGCTTAGTTGGTAACTTTTATGGGGCATCCCAGCAATAAAACTTTGATTTCACAATTTCTTTTAATTTTTAACTGTTTTATAAAAAATCTTTAGCTGTAGCTAAGAGGAATGATTTTATTTTCAACAGGAGCATTTCTGCTCTCAACCAGTAAATTTTGGAGTATTAATGTACCCCACACTGACACTGATGGGTAATCTTATAACCACTTGTGCAGAATACCCCTGATGATAAAAAAATGAAAATAGTGAGTCTAGCCTCATGTCCAAGGATAGGGTACTCCTTGGAAAATCTGACAAATAGCTAACGGGAACCTTTACTAGCTTTCCCCTCTACTGTCTTCCACTGTCAAATCATACCTGCTAGCCTGCCAAGAAACCATGCATGGTGTCTGCAGCAGGAGGCAGCAGAGATCCACTGGCTACTAGGAGAGCTGGGACCAATCCAACTAGACAGCTCAGGGGCAAGGCTGCCAGTCATCCACTGTGAGGAGCCAGATCACAAACCTCAGGAGTAGGTACCAGACTTCTCCATGTGAAGTCTGACTCAACATTCAACAGCAGGAAGAACTGAGGTGGAGTCCAAGGTGCAAAGCCAGAAGGCCTCCACTTAAGTTTCTGGTCCAGGAACTAGCTTCCTATGGCCTAGAGAAAAGTCACTACCTGTTTCTGACTCTTAGATTCACTTGTAAAATAGGGGGTTTGGTCAAAATGGTCTACAAGGTCTTTTCTGTATCACCTGCCATTTGTCTTAACAATATAACTGTTTCTCTGCACCTCGACTTGCTGGAAACAGGTCCTATAATCCTACAAATACAGGGAGGAGTAAGCCCAGAATAATACAAAGACTTCTCTAGATGGCTCTCTCCCTGCCTTACTCTCTTGTCTAGAGAACAGAGCTTCTTCCAAAACTGTAAGCTGTAAAGAACAGAATAAAAGCAACTTTACCAGCTATGTTCTGACTGTGGTGATGATGTAGGGACTTTCTTCCTCCCACATCTGAAAAATAGGACACTGGGTGAAGAGACTTTGCCTGTCTCTTGCACTGTTAGTAACAAGCTAACGAAGTGCCAAGGGAGCCCAAATAGCCAGGTGGGCTGGTATAGGAGAGGAGGCTGGCCCCAAGTAGGAGTCCTTAATTTAGATATTAATTACTTGTGGGTGTGCAGGAAAACACCAGAGGGGCTCTCCTCAAGCCCAGAAAATCTCCTCTAGGAAGCTCAAGCTCCCAGCGGATTTCTCTTCCTTGGTGAAACAGATATGAGGTAAATTCTACAAACCAGCTGTGAAAACCATGATGTGGAACTGCATGAAGTATGGAAATACCTGTCATGATAAAAGAGGATAAGAACGAGAGACAGAATTAGACAAAATACTCAGTGCAT